CAAAATCTACCCCTATTTTCCAGTGTGTGTGTGTTTGAGAGAGAGAGAGAGAGAGTTTACATCCCAGAAGTGACTATCCTTTCCTTTATTTAAACACTAGGCTCTGTTTTCACTTAAAGTGACAGTAGCAGCCTAGGCTGAGTAAGTCCCAAACTGGAGACATCAATACTAACAAGAAGGGCAATGAAGAATCGCAGTCCTGCTGAAAGAAACTGCTGCCAAGGCAGGGCTCACAAGCATGCCTTTGACTCACAGGCATCTTCTCACCTCTGGCCTGGCTATGTAAAATCAATTTGCCAGCTGAGAACTTTGTTGACTGTTTACAAGATTTACCCTTCTAACTCTGCACCCTGGTTTCTCAGCCCACAGTGCTGGAATGAGAGTTTGCAGCCTTCTGAGAGAACAAATGGGACTCCTTTTAATCTGGCCTTCTCATCATCACTACCAGATTCCCAAAGGTATCTTAAAAACAGAACAAGGTAAGAGGCTTTCTAACACAGGACTGTTGATTCTTCCCAGGACAGCTGTGAGTGGAACACAAGACTGTTGATTCTGTCCAGGATAGCTGTGAGAAGATCCTGATTGCAGAGGACTTCAAGGTAAACTTCTTCACCAATTGAACTTTCACTCTCCTTATCTTACTTCCACTTGTAAGGACCCCTAACATCCAAAAGAGGAACTGATTCTCTTTTCTTTTTGAGACAGGGTCTCATGTAGCCCAGACTGGTCTTGAACATGCTACAAATCTGAAGTTGTCCTTGAATGTTAGTCCTCCTGCCTCCACTTCCAGGTGTGAGCCACTGCTTTGAGGTCAGAAGTACAATTCTCACTGTAATGTACCCAAATTCCATCAAAATGTTCCTAGTTCCTGATCCACTGTTAATCAGGTCATGCCTTAATGCTGTGAATACATTAGGACCATGCTGAAAACATGAATTCTTCTTAATTCCTAAAGGAGCTTTCAAAGTCTGCAAATGAAGCCTTCACAGACAGATATATTCATGAAAGATGATACAAGGAGGGAATAAAGAATCACAAAATCTAAGACTTAGGAAGAAATTCAACTCTTGCTGATTGTTATTTTGTCTCTCATCTACTTCTCACATTATTATTCTTTCCCCATCAAATAATCCCTTAATTGTTACCTGAAGAGCACTAATGATAAGAAATTTAATACCATTGAAGATATTTGCTCCAATGGTATAATCACTAAACTCTGAAGTTTATTATTAAAGTTGGCCAACGTCTTCTTTTCAGCTAGATTGCTACAGAAATCTGATCACTCCAACTCTGTCTAGGTTGGATTTTGCACATTTTGGGCAGCTTCAGACTCTGTCTCTCTTCATATAGAATGGAGACAGTATTGGGTTGCTTGTCTACAGTCTCTCATACTAGTCATACTAATAACACCACTAGAAAAATTAAGGAAACAATGTGAATAATTGCTCAGTTGTGTTTTTGAGGGTATGGAGATGGCTGAAAGTACCACAGATTCTAAATAAACCATCTCCTGGACTATTTGACTACCCACTGCATGGAGGACCCAAGAATGATATGAGGTAGAAGTGTGGTGGGAGGGCAAGATAAAGAAAGAGATCAAGATTAGCATGTAAAATAACCAGTTAGCACAGAAACTCTCTCCCCTGAAGGATACACATAGCCTAACAGGGAATGTGCTAGCTAAGCCTCTGGGAATAAGAAGGTAGTTATGCAAATGACTTATAAAGGAACATGACCTTGAGGCCAGTCCCAGCCCACCAGCCTGCTGCCCTGTTCTGGACTGCCTTTCTCCTTTTTAATAAGCTATCTATTTATACCACTATGCCTGTGTCTCTGGCCCAATTCTCTGGTCCATCATACAACAACCCTGAAATCCCAGTGACTGTCTTCTAGGATGGGATCCACAACTCTAACAGAATGACTCTCTGTGTCAAGAGCCTCTCCTGTTAGTTAGCCTAAGAAGCCATGCTGCACAGCTGAGCTTTCACACGTCCTGAGACCTACACAACCAACACTTGGGGCCTGTGCAGCTCTGCTTCCAGAAGTTAGTTGGGGTTTCTAAAATGTAAATACCAATACAGTCAGGTGGCACTTCTAATGAAGAGAGACTTTAAGGAAGACATGAGAATATGCCAGGGAGGAATTCAAGAATGATTCCCCACTAAAACAAATATTAAGTATTTGAAAGAATCATGTGTTTCACAGGTTAAAAGATTAGCACTTTTTATTTAGTCCTCGTGATTAAGAAAGCAGACTCGGGTATGGTGGTGTACAACCATGATCCCAGCACTCAGAGGCAGGGCCAGCAAGCCTGAGAGTTCCTGCAAGATGCTCCCACGTGAAGACACAACACAACCGAACACCTGACTGTGCCACTGGGCTGAGAAAGGGAGGTTTAGATCCCCTTGCTGACTCCTGCTTGCTGTTGTTAAGAGCCAAAATTTATCTCCAAGCCCCACCTGCCCAAGGGCAAGGGAACTTCCTGAAATGCTGGGAATTGCAGTTCTTGGGAAATAACAAGCCATATGTTTTTACCTCCCTAAACAAGTTTTTTTGAAGCTACTACTCTGGATGTGCTTGATCACGTGTAGGTGGGATGTACATAGGCAGGAAATAAATCAGAATGTATGTTTGCCCCTGATTAGACCTGATGGAGCATGCAATGCATTATGGGTTTTGCCTTTTTAAGTCCCTGAAAAGTATGACTCTCTCTGGGAATTCGGGTGGATCTGATGAGTTCATTTTTATGGTCAGTACTTAATTAAAACTTGCTTCAAATTTGGCTCAAAAATATGGAACTGTTTTTTCTCTCTAAAATCTCAGGATTAACACTGTGATATTATGAATTATTTATTTGCTGTCCTTGTGTCTCAGTTTCTAAAACTGCAGAAACCTGGCATAGTAGGAATATTAATATCAATGGGTGACCAGAGTTACTAGAAGAGTTGAGCACAGTATGGGCTCATTATAATAATTAGGTGCAGTGATTCCTGTTCTCTATTTCATGTATTCATGGCAGTCATATTTTCAGACATATACTGTGACTAGTACAAGTATGTGAAAGCCTACCCTAAAGGTACTTCAGGAACAATCCTGTCTCTTTAGCCATCTTGCTACAGTCCAAACACACCAGGAGAAAGTGATGCAGTTTAGAAGGGAGAGTACTGGGCCAATTGTCAGGAGACATTCCTGGCTGTTCCATGAATTAGCTGTCTGCACTACATGTACCTGCTTGAACTCTCCATGCCTGAGGTCCAAAGACAGCCCCATACACTCAAAAGGCTTGCTATAGCAAAGCTGAAGGTCTGAATTATTGGGATGTTTTTGTGCTTAAACTTTTAAAAGTCTAGTGAGAAGTTGGTGATTAAATCACCCAAGAGCTTGAAAAATAATCAAATCTTCTCTTCTTCCTCCTTTTCTTTGTCTTCCTCCTCCACCCTTCTTCATCTTTATCCTCCTCCTCTTTCTCTGCTTCCTCTTCCTTTTCCTCCTCTTCCTCATTCTTCTTTTCTCTTTATCTCTCTTCTTTCCTGCATACCCATACTTTCTCTTTCTATGTTGCTCTCAGAATAAATGGCATCTGTAGCATCTTATGAACTATCTATTATTATTGTTGTTCAATAGGCTGGTTCATCTTATACACCCTGAGTTTTCATTATACCTTTCAGAATAAGTGAATAGTTCTTTATATTCAAGTCATACATAGTACACTGTGAGAAAGAAACATAACACAAAGAACAGACAGAAAGTAGCACACCAACACAAATATGTACTTTGCACCTGAGGTATAGACAAGGTCATATACATGCTGCCTTCGACGGGTGTCACTTCTGCTGTGGCACTCAACAGTCCACCCTGGAGCTTAGCTTTGTGGTTGGGATAAACTGACCAAAAGTCTAAAATCCTGTAGTGGTACCAGAAGATTGCAAGAGGATTGGAACCATATTCCTGACCACAGGACAGTGTTATGTGAGATCATGTGAGAGAGAGATATGTGTGTGTTTCAGTGGTTCTTTTGTTACAATTGTTACATATGGTAGGATTTTGATTTCATAGTGTACTTGGTCATGGCTTTATTAGGAGGTTTTGTCCTTGCATAGTGTGATTAAAAACATTTGTGATCACAAAGCTGCTACCATATATGGTTACCATCAATATTTCTTGTGTGATACAATTTCTGTCCTTTATCTAACTTTCTCATATCCACTAGGTCAAACTTCCTTCCACAGCTTGATTCACATCTTCATTGTATGTTTATGAGCAACAGCATGACAGGTAGATAGATACCTTGAAAACTGAGAAACAAAGACACGAGTTCATCTATGTATGTGAAGTCAGAGTGCAATGTCCTATAATAAGGCATGAGTTTTATAACTAATTTTAATAATTGGAAGAAAGGAAAGAAATAACAAAGTTCCATTTATCAATCAGTAGTACTTTTTGGCTAAGTAAAATACTCTAGCTCTTGCCATTTCAGAGTGGAAAATATCACAGATCAATAGTCAATCATTATGTACAAAGAGGTGGTATCTCTAAGAGAAAATCAGATTCTCAGAAGTAAGGTTCTGTGCCACAGGGTTTGGCTCCTACACCATATTGCATGGAAGACCTAGACAACACCCACCTATAAACACAGCCAGTATTTATGCTCTACCAGGCCCCAGTGAAGGGCAGGGGAGCAAAGATGGCAGGATACATATGGAAACTGCCCTTCTGAATTTCAGACCTCCTTATGATCTTTTTATACTTACTGGATTCCAGCATAGAACAAATAGTAAAGAATCATCACAACATAATCAAGACAAATTAAAGTGGATGAGTTTGAGACTTTGGTGGCAAATTGACACTGTCCCAGAATACTGATTATGCCTCGTAAAGGAAAACTGGAATGAAGGGTTTGGCTGAAGCTGACCAGCTGCTCGGCTCTGCAGGGTACTGCTGAGCCTGAGCTGTCCCTTCAAGCAAGGCTGGCCTTGTGGCTTCAAGCCACCAACACTCACCATTCTTGCCAAGCAGGAGAGCCAGAGAATCCTGAGATGAGGAATTGAGGAAGAGCAAGAGGCTAGGGGCCTGTGCTGTCACAAAGCTCAGTGTGATGGTTTCCTTGGATGGAGCTGTATCTGTGTAGATAGCTGAAGACGAGAGGCTTGTGTTCTTGGTCACCGGGTATGGTTCTTGAAACATGTATGTAACCGAGCTGCCAGAATCAAAAAGAGCTGAAATCTCTGTGAAAACAGAAGACAAGAGAGCACATTTTCAAACACTTAGTCAACTACTTGAAGTAATTATAATGCCTGACCATTGTTTCCTTGCACCCAGCACTATGTGAGGGCTGTTAAAAAAAAAATTAGACAACGTGCTTAACAATTTTGAAGAGGCTCTAGTCTACCTTTGTGTGTATGATCACATATGTGCATGAGGATTCATGTCAGAGACTAAAGGTAGTGTGCCCTCCTCTATCGCTGTCCTCTTCATTTTTTGAGACACTGAACCTAGAGCTCCTGTACTAGCTAGACTGGCTGGCTAGTGGGCTCAGAACTCCTCTTATCTCATCTCTTCTAGGGACATCTGTGTTCTATGTGAGTGCTAGGGTTCCACACTCAGATTCTCATGCTTGTGTGGCAAGCACTTTGCTGACAGAGCTGTTTCCACAGCCCTTTGTATTCATTGTTTGCAATTAGAAATATGGCTGGGGATTTTAATCACAACACTAACTGCTCTCTGTATCACTATGTTATTCAGTAAGATGGTCTTTGTAAATCACTGAGGAACGTTGCCCAGCAGGGTTTAGACTTATGGAACCTCTGTGTTGCAAGAAAGTATCACCTAGAGCTGGGGAGATGGACTTAGATCTGTGAATGCACATCTGACTGTCAAACTGTGTGGTAAACTTGAGTTCATGTGGCTATGATAGGGTTCCCTTCTTCCCAAATGAAGGGTGCAGTGTTCCTAATCCTCCCTCGATATTCCCTGGCAAAGTGTGGGGCATTGAGAACATAACCAAACTTAGCTGTGCTTCCTAATGCTCTTCCCATGTTTCTGCCTTGTGAAAACTCTATTAACAGTCTGTAATAGTGCCACCTAATTAATGCTACATGTTTATGCAGTCTCTGGCAGTACATTTTTTATGAAATTACTACTAATTTCATAAATGCAATTTATACTACTACTAGTGCAATTTTATGAAAGGTTCAAAAAGAATGTCTTTCATCAAGAAAGTTATATCAATCAGTGTTTCTTTTGTTAAAAATAGGAAGCATACACTTATGGCCATGAAGATGTTGGCTCGTGATCTGCTTGATCTGTTTTCCATAGGGACTTACAACCTGCATTTTGAGCTACTATTTTCTAGTTAACAAAATAAAAGCCCTTGTTTGATGTTTGTGTATATAGTTGAATGTGTATGTGATTCACAGTGTATGAAAAACAGATATGGGCATGTACATTATGATTTTTTCTTCTCTTTGGACATTAAATCAACAATGGCAAAAAATCCATGATTAGACATGTCACACAAAATTGATGTCCTTGTTCTTCTCTTGGACCTAGTTTTCCTTATTTATAATGTTTAGGCATTATTTGTTTCAGTATAAAGCCTAGTTCCACAGTATGTGTAGGTTCTGCTACTCATCTGTTTCCTTCTGTTTTGTGGCAGGAGATAAAGGAGTTGGAATGGGTTTAGTTTTCCCATAGATTACTTATGAAGAAAATCTAAACATATTCAGCGAATTTCAACTTGAGATAGGATAACATTAGAAAATATAGTAAGAACCAGCATGTAGGGAGAATTTGCCGGCTGTGTGAAGTATTCATTGAGTGCTAAACATGATCCCTCCTAAAAAAATCTCTGTATTTCCCACTCATTAGAAAGTGAAAATCGAGGAAGTTTGAGAATAAATATATAACTACTGTCTCCCATGGGCAATGGACAATGAGTAAATTAGTAAAAACATGAACCAAGATTATTTCTGCAGAGCTCTGGTGACAGATGAATTAAGTAAGAGAAGACAGTATTTATAATGGGAACCATTGCAACAGTTGAAACTTAGGCTTACAAATATTTATGACATATATAGGAATGCTTATTGGATGAAATAAAGGAAGCCCATGGCATAAATAAAATATCCATCATGATCTCCACATCTCCACTATATTGAATGCAAGTAACATTTTTGTTTGTTTGTTTTGAAATGATTGTCTATGTGGTTCAGTTAGGTTCAACTTTCTAGATTTGTACATCAATTTCCAAATTTATTATCTAGCATTTTTAGTAACAAAAATATTTAAGTGATAGAATTGGTTATTCAGACAATAATAGAAGAAAGATGAAGGCAAAGAAGTACACATTGATAAATGATACCTAGGCATGTGGATATTAGCAGGCAAAAGAATTATGTCAAGACTGCCAAGGTGGCTCAGAGGATAAAGATGCTTGCAGCCAAGCCTGATGATCTGAGTTCAGTCCCTGTGAACATCCTGTAGAATGAAAGAAGCTACTCCTATAAGTTGTGCTCGAACCACACATGTGCCCTGGCATACTGACAAACACACAGAGAGAGAGAGAGAGAGAGAGAGAG